CATGAATTAGCCATGTGTCCCCTATCCCGACATGAGTAGCACTTTCTCTTTGATTGAGCCTTTTCTTCCTTGCTCATGTGGTGCTTTCCATTGCCCTGCCTCTCATGGGTTGCTTGAGCCTTCTTCTCAAGCTTGGTAGGACACTTCGAGGCAAAGTGCCCTAAATCTTTACATTCAAAGCACTTGATGTGAGCATAATCTTTCTTCTCTCTTTGATAGTTGCTCATCATCTTGGCATCTTGATCAAGCTTTTGATGCCTTGCTCTTCCACCCCTTCTTGTTTTCTTTTTCTTTATCATCAAATCACCACCATCTTCATGGTTGATCTTGATTTGAACTTGGGGCTTCTTCTTTTCATCTTGTGGCCTCATCTTTGGCTTCTTGGTTGGGCAAGATTTGGCAAGGTGACCCATCACATGGCATTTGAAGCACACGAAATGAGAGAGCTTCTTTTCTTCTTGCTTCTTTATCTCTCTTTTATTTCTTCTCTTGCCCCATCTCTTGCCTTTGACATTGCTCTTCTTGAAGCCAATGACATTCTTCTCACCATAACTTCTTTGGTTATCCAACATATGGTCAAAGGTGACTTTTAATTTGTAGCACCTCTCTAATTTGTTGCTTAAATTCTTCATTTCATTTTTGAGCTCATTATCCTCCTTTAAAAGGTTAGTCTCACAAGACATAGAAGAAGAACAAACATCTATATGTGAAGAACATGGCATATCTAATAAATCATCACAAAAGGTGGATACATGCTTCTTGCCTACATCACAAGGGTTAGCAACATTATGTGATTGATCATTTGACCCATGTGATGAGGTCTCACTAGTTTTAGTTTTTCCATTGAAAAACTCCTTAGTGAGAAAAACATGGTCTTTTACCAAGTTATCATGAGCAACACTAAGTTCCTCATGAGTCAATTTTAGCTCATCATGTGAAGCTTTAAGAACATCAAGTAAGTGCTTATGTTCTTCACATGAATTCTTTAGAAATGAGTTTTCTTTTTTCAATTTCAATGTTTTAGCTTTCTTATTTTCTAAAGTCATGGTCATGCTAGCAAGTCTACTAACAAGCTCATCATATGAATAAACATGATCAACTACATTGGCATTTTGTACCTTTGTGTCACCTAGTGACATGAAGCAATGTGGTGATGGAGAGCTTGTAGAAGCATCACAATCATGGTCCGAGCATGAACCATCATCAAGTGTGCTTGAGGTAGAATCATCATTTGCATCACTTGAGGCATCACCATCAATTTTATCAAGTGAACTTGTAGTTGATCTATCATCATCGTCACTTGACCATGAGGTGGAGCAATCTTCCACAATCACCAAATTGTCGCTATGCTCAATATCCTCATGTGTCTCCTCCTTGGGCTCATCATCATCATTGGAGACCGTCCCATATTTTCCATTAAGATAAATCCAAATCTTATGGGCGGATTCCATATCCATGATCTCACCAAATATGTTATCTTTCATAGAATGATAGAAAACGTTAGTAGCTTGGCAATCGAGATGTAGGCATTTCTTTTGCGCTTGAGTTGCATTTTTTGTATCCAACACATGAGAAACGCCCACATCTATGATCCACCACATTTGAGGGCTCATAAACTTAAAATTGCAAGTCATCCACTTTTTCAACCGTGTAAAGTGTGTGCCATAAAAAATGTGTGGACACTCAACATCTAGCCCATAAGTCGCCATCCTCTCAGGTCGGTGAAGACCACAAATGAGAGACCTAGCTCCGATATCACGTGTAGGGTCGAGATAGCAGACCGAGGGGGGGTTAATAGTCCTTTCTAAAAATTAATCACGCCGGCTAACCAAAATAAATGCGGAATTAGAACTATCGGTCTAGCCAAGACTACACCCCTATATCTAAGTTCACAAGCACCATATAAAGATCCTAATTAGGCAACAAAGGTGTCGGGCTAGCTAGAGCTCACCTAACAATTCTAGCTTGCAATGTCACACAAACCTATGCAACTAGTACTTCAAGCAACCGGGGCAACTCCTACACAACTAGTGATGTAAAGCGCACAAAGCCCCTAAGCTCACTAGCAATGCTCAATAACAAGGCTACATAAGCCAAATTAGAGAGCGCAAAATACTTAGCTACACAAACTAAGCAATGTGACTAACAAGGCTACTCAAGCCAATTAGTTACGAAAGGGAGCTACTTCTATGCTACACAAGCAAGAAGGTAACTAGCAAGCTACACAAGCTAACTAATTACAAGAGCAACTACACAAGCACAATATATGTGAAAGTAAATACAAGCTTGTGTAACGAGGATGCAACCAACGGTAAGACAAGGATGACACAATGATTTTTATCCCGAGGTTCACGTGCTTGCCAACACGCTAGTCCCCGTTGAGACAAGTTCCAAGGTTGCCGCCGGTCCTCTTGCTAGTGATGACCCACAAGTCACACTCTCCCACATGGAGTGCTTACCACAAGCTCTAGCACTTGACATGGTCGGACCACTTGTCGTTCTTCATGTCTCGCTATACTAGAGTTGCTCTTCGCGGCTCCCGCAGGGTGAGCACAATACCCCTCACAATCACTTCTCCAGAGCACTACACAATCACCACGTGGGCTTCACAACAGAGACCACAATCCACCAAGCTGTCTAGGTGATGGCAATCACCAAGAGTAACAAGAAATCCCCAATCACAAAGATTTTCTAGTGCCACCAAATGCAAATCCTGAATGCACGCACTAGCTCACTCAATCCCTCACTCCAATTAGCACCAAGCTTGAGAGGGAGATGAGGGGGAGGAGGTGGATCTTCAACCTCTCATGCACACCCACAAAGGGCACTCAATCTCTCAAAATCATGGAGCACAAAACTTGGCGAGAGAGAGAGAGGAAGGGGATGAACCCTAACTTCAAGTGTGCAAGAATGGGGAGAGTAATGAGGAGGAAGAGGGTTGCAGCCCCCCAAATACCCTCAGCTCACGCTCCCAACGGTCAGATCTAAGCTGAACAGGATATTCCAGCTCAGGCAGGAAAAATTCCTAGGCGAACACGCTTTTGACCATTTGCGCGGGAGGACTCTCGCACTGAAAATTCTAGCTCGGGGCAACTAAAATTCCAGTTAATTGCATCCATCCAACAGAGCACCCTTATCTGGAAATTTTGCCCAGGTGAGCAAGAAATTCTTGTTCACAATCCATAACTTGCCCAAAACAAGTGCTATCTCTTCCCAAACGGCACCAAACCAATTTTAGCACTTGAGATAGCTTTTCATAAAGAATTTTCCTGGGCTTTCTCATGCACCTCACCACATCATTAAGTGCAATGCATATACAAATGAAACTCACACTTAGTGGCACTAGATAACCGTTGCAACTAAAAGATTTCTCCTCTTTATAGTATGGCTATCTATCCTAAATCCTGTCAAGCACTTCTCTACTCAAATTAGACCGGTGAAATGAAATGCCTATAGGTTATACCTTTGCCTTGCGCATTCCATCTTATCTCCTCTAATGTTGATGCAACACATGCACCAACAACGATCAACAAATGATATGATCCACTTTATATCATCATGTGACCTTATTGGTTCATCGATCTTGACCTTACTTGCTTTTTACCATTGCCTTCATCCATTGGCGCCAGGTCTTGCTCAAGCTTCACCGCCATGTGGTCCATCACATCAAAGCCTCTGACTTGCCCTTCACGCTTGCAACCAGTCCGTCAAGCCAAGTCTTGTCTTGATCTTCTCCACCTTAGTCACATGACTCCATGTCATGTCTCATATGCAATAAGCTCCTTCATCACATATGTATCTGTGGACTAATTTCCTGTGTATCTCACATAACCACATATTAGTCCACCTAGGTTGTCACTCAATTACTAAAACCAAACAAGGACCTTTCGCGTGGCCTACTGGAAGTAGGAGCTTACCACTATGGGAGGAGGAGCATGACACAACGAGGTAGCGTGGATGTTACACCGACGATGACATAGCCTGGCTGGCCTAGCGCAGCCAGGTGCTGAGCCCTAGCGGCATGTGTCCAGGTAGCCAACTCAGGTCGGCACGGCTAGCGGCGCTACAGCGCTGGGGCTGGGCGGCACTAGCGTAGGGAGAAAAGAGGGGGCGCTGGAGGGGGAGGAGGTGGCGTCGGCTTGGAAAAAGCTGAGGGCACCGGCGCTAGGAGAAGTAGGGGAGCCATGCGCGGAGGAGCAGCAGGACGCCGGCATCGAGGACGGACCGAGGGAGAGAGCAACCGTGGGACGGGGGAGCGAGAGTGACGAGAGAGAGAGAGAGAGAGAAAGAAGAGAGAATGATGAGCGGGCCCTGTTTGTTAGTGTCTACCCGAATGGATTTGAGAGCCCAAATTTGAGTGCGGCGTCTGGAGTGAAAGAAAGAAAATGAGGCAAATAAAAGTAGGGAAACACCCAGATCGAAAGTAGGGGTCCTAATTTCGGTGCTCTGCTCGACTTGCTCTTAACCAAACAAAAGGGAAAACACTCAATACGCGAACAAGATGCCATTCAATTCATGCATGTGCGCCCGCGCGAGTTGGAGCCTTGGAGAGTTGGAGGAATCAACCTTTTCTTTCTTACAGCAAGTGAAAAGGTGCAAGAACAAATTCACAGCATTGACTACTTGATTGGTCTTGGACGATAGTAAGGTAAAAATGGTGAAGAATCTTTGCTAGTTCCCCTGTTGCTGAGAAGAGAGGTAAAGTTGTGACTGACGGTACCAAGTCCATTATTGTGATTAACATGACTAAGAAGGAATTTCTTTTTTTTTAACAAAGGAGTTTCTTATTCAGTAGTACGATTGGGTCCATAGGAATTATAATCATCACATATATGCATAACGCAGCATCAGAATATCAAACTTGACAATATATCTTGAAGACTAGTATGACAAAGAAGAACTAGTTTACTCTACAAAATTTATTAAAAAAGTAATCCCACTCTAATTATGTAGCTTGAAAAGGTTAAACTAAGCTTCCACCATTGTTATATAATAACCCCATGCATTCACCCTTCTCAGTGTCCACCATCAACAGCCAAGCACACCTCCAAAGCTTTGCTCTGCCTCTTGTCCTCTGCTCCCTCTTCTCCATCACAAAGCTGCAGCACACGCCTGATCCACCAATGCGCACCACTCCCGTGCCGTCGCCGCCGCCTGTGGCGCTGGTCGGAGTCAAGGGAGGCCACCACGTCTACGTCACGGTACCCCAACTCCCGGAAGGCGACGCGGCCGTCCATGGCGGCCGGCAGCTCAAGTGCAGAGCCGTGCCCCTGCCGACGGCGGGGGAGACCTTCCGGGAGGCAGTAGCGCTGTGCCGGCTGGCGTTCCCGATCGCGTTCACGGCTCTGCTGCTCTACTCGCGGACGGCCTTGTCGATGCTCTTCCTGGGCTCCATCGGCGACCTCCCGCTAGCTGCCGGGTCCCTCGCCATCGGCTTCGCCAACATCACCGGTTACTCGGTGCTGTCAGGGCTCTCGCTCGGCATGGACCCGCTCTGCACCCAGGCGTTCGGCGCCAACCAGCCGCGCCTGCTTGGCCTCACCCTCTACCGCTCCGTCCTCTTCCTGCTCTGCTGCTCGCTGCCGCTCTCCGCGCTCTGGCTCAACATGTCCAAGATCCTCGTGTTCCTCGGTCAGGACATGGAGATCACGGCACTCGCGCAGGAGTACATCCTCTTCTCCCTCCCCGACCTTTTCTCCTTCTCAGTCATCCACCCGCTCCGGGTGTACCTCCGGTCGCAGGGGATAACGTGGCCGCTGGCCGCAGCCGCGGGCGCTGCCGTGCTGTTCCACGCGCCGACCAACTACGTGTTGGTGGGGCGGCTCGGGCTCGGCGCTCCTGGGGTGGCCGCCGCGGCGTCGGCGTCCAACTTGGTGCTCCTGGTCGTGCTCCTCGCGTGCGTCCTCGGCCGGCGCGATTCGGCGCTGCGAGCGGCGGGACCGCCCACGGCGGAGTGCCTCGCCGGGTGGGGCCCGCTCGCGCGGCTGGCCGCGCCCAGCTGCGTGTCGGTGTGCCTGGAGTGGTGGTGGTACGAGGTGATGATCCTGCTCTGCGGCCTCCTGCCGAACCCGAAGCCGGCGGTAGCGTCCATGGGCGTGCTCATGCAGACGACGGCGCTGGTGTACGTGTTCCCGTCGTCGCTGGGTTTTGGCGTGTCGACGCGGGTGGGCAACGAGCTCGGCGCGAACCGCCCCGGCCGCGCGCGCACCGCGGCGCACGTGGCCGTGGCCGGCGCCGCGGGCATGGGCCTCGCGGCCATGTCGTTCGCGGCCGGGGTGCGCCACGCCTGGGGCCGCATGTTCACCACCGACGCCGACATACTACGGCTGACCGCGGCCGCGCTCCCAGTCGTGGGGCTCTGCGAGCTCGGGAACTGCCCGCAGACCGTCGGCTGCGGCGTCCTCCGCGGCAGCGCGCGGCCGACGCGCGCAGCGCACGTCAACCTCGGCGCCTTCTACCTGGTGGGCATGCCCGTCGCCGTGCTGCTGGCCTTCGGGCTCGGCGTGGGCTTCGTCGGGCTCTGGATGGGCCTGCTCGCCGCGCAGGTGTACTGCGCCGGGCTCATGCTGTTCGTCGTCGGCTCCACCGACTGGGAGGCGCAGGCGCGGAGGGCGCAGGAGCTGACGTCAGGCGCGGAGGGCGAAGTGGAGAAGCCTGCGGCCCACACGTCAGCGACGGCCGTGGGAGAGGGAGGCAGGCCGGAGAAGGGGGAGCAGGAGGGCGTGGAGAGGAGCTGCTACGACCACGAGCCGTTGATCTCCAACAGTGGGGAGGCCGAGGCAGAAACTGTGTAGGCGGCTTCCAGATTCGTGAAAAAGTCTAGTGCCATCATAATTATTATTCTTATATTTACTCTCTGATTAATTGGAATTACTGCAAGTAGTACTCCAGTTCTAATGGTAGTGAGTATAACTTTTTTTTTATTGTTGTTTTCCTTTTCCCCCTTTATTTTTCTTTCTTTGCTTTTGCATCAGTGGTAGCTGGTGCTGTTGCACTAAGATAGTAAGATACTCGTTGGGCACCTTAATTTCTAATTACTATATCTCATCAATGGAGAGAAGTAATGTATTTTTTGCTAATTTTGTAAATTCTTGCTAGTTTTGAACGACAGCAGAAAATTTCTCATCTTGTCAAACTTTCGAAACTTCAGTCATGCACTTGTGTCAACATTATCAGCTGAAGACGATGGCAAGGTAATATTAGTTGGTAATGGTAGTGATAGTTGCAATAAATTGTCAGATTGAGGATTGTTGGCTTGGCTCCTTTCACACCAGGCGTGCCTCCCGGTGGGGAAGCAAGTTTGGGCCATAGGAGGGCAACAGAAAAGAACAGAACAGAGCAGAAAAGGCGTTAGATGTGGCATTTCACGGGCAGTCGGTGTGTGTATAGAAAAAGCACGCGGATTCGATCAGATTTTTCACCTTTCGGCTCCCGATGGCAAATTGCACATATGCATTGACAGTGCTGCGCGCCTGCGCCTTCTGCCTGTGTGCTCCACCCCACGAGCCATGGAACTTTTGGAGGAAGGAGACAACGCAACAAACAAAATGGATACTGTGCACAGGGGCCAGCACGTAGCCTAGCTGGGGCTCTGCTCTCTGTGCTTGAAACCATGAGCTGAGGCCCCCTCACCCCCACCACACACTACACCAGGTTTATACATCACTGCTGACCTCATTATTACTGCATTTGTGACAATCGACAGTGATGTACCTTCACTGTCGGTTATGAGTTTGAAAATGAAAAAATGATTAGAGCTAGGCTAAAACCGGCAGTGAAAGACCACATCACTGCCGGTTCGTGGCTTGCACCGGCAGTGTTTTGGCGGCTACTCATCACTGTCGGTTTAAGCCAAGAGCCAACAGTGATTGGGCTCTATCACTGTCGGTTCTAGCAAAGAACCGACGGTGATAATCCTACAACACAAAAAGGCTGCATCTATCCTCTCCTTCCTCCTCTCTTCCATCCCGAGAATAGAGGCGCGCGTTTGGACCCTTCCCTCCATTATTGCGGCTGCTCTTCACCATGAAGCTAGCGCTTGGATTTTGAAGAATGGCTTGATCTTTTTCTTTAAGATTAGTAATAAACATTTACTCCTTTGATTTTGTTGCTTAATTAGATTCGTTTTGATGGCTACATTGCTTGATTCTTATTCTAGTTCTTTTTCTATTCTAGAGAGCACTTTTTCAATTGGACATTTGTGCAAGGCTCAAATTGTGGTGAATCCATCATCCAGAAAGTTGGTGTCTATGAACACATTTAAATTCCTAACTAATTATTCCATGGTGGTCACGATCATCATTGTTAGTATGTGATGCTATAATTAGTTCTTAAAAGTAGAGTAGAATAGATGTTCTTCATTATTGTACAATAATTGTTTTTTACTATGATTTTCAATTTACAGGACTGGGGCTACCAATTTCAATTTTTCAATAATTAGTGTACAAAAATGTTTTCCAAAAATAGTACTTTCGAGCTACGATTGTTGTTCATGAAGCTCGATTTTTTATTAATTCTTTGTAATTACTGTCTCAGTATTTTTTTGTGCAGAGATGGATCGAGAGTGGATGCATCTGTCCCGAACGGACAAGCGATACATGCATGGCGTCAACCAGTTTATCACCAATGCCAAAGCCCATACTGAGAATGAGAACCCTATCTCCTGCCCATGCAAAGATTGCAAGAATCAAAGGAACTTTCATCAAATTGAGTCTATACGATCGCACTTGATTACCAGGGGGTTCATGCCAAACTATACGATATGGACTATGCATGGTGAGGTTGGTGTGAATGTTCTACAGGAAAACGATGATGATGTGGACATACCTGACGTAGCAATCCACGATGCTGACGAGGAACCCGGTGTCAATACGGAACCTATGGCCACAGTTAATAATGAGTTCTGCACATATTATCTAGACATCAAAAGGGTCGGAGTTCTAGAATCTCATCACGAGGGAAGACTACGTGGCAAAGGAACGATCGGGGAGATATCTGTTACAGTAGACGACCCTGTTTCTTTTAGACAGGAACATTTTGCTGTTCTCTAGCAAGCCGAGGGTGTGATGCCATACATTGACGAGCACAGGCAATCGCTACAAACTCTATATTTGAGCAGGTCACAGGCTTGGCTAGATAAAAAAACATAAGAAGGAATTTGTCAACTAGTTGCGACGTCACTTGCTTAGAATAAAGTTGGGTAATCAACTGGATGCCTTAGCCAAGGGACCTTCGAGTACATATCTTAAGTACTAAGGGTATGAGATCAGTGGATTCACATTTTACACAAAAAAGCAAGATGAAAAGAGCACATACCAAAATTGTGGTGTTCGTTTTGATGCTCCCGATGAAAACGGCAACGTGCAGGCGACATACTATGGTTTCATAGAGGAGATATGGGAGCTAGCCTATGGTCCGTTGAAGGCAGCTCTTTTTCGCTGCCAGTGGGTCCGGCTCGAGGAAATCAACACTGACAGTGAAGGGTTCACTACCGTTGATCTCACTAAGACCGTATACAGAGATAACCCCTTCGTCCTTGCAAGAGATGTTATGCAAGTTTTCTATGCAAGGGACAACAAGACAAAAGGAAGGCTAAAAGTAGTCCTAGAAGGGAAAAGGAAGATTGTCGGTGTTGATGAAGTGATGGACGAAGAAGACTACATGGGCTATCAGGAGATGCCTCCATTCGGGGCGAACGTACCCCTACCTATCCTTCAAGAGGGTGACGAACCTGCTTACGTACGGCTTGATCACAATGAGGCCCTCATTGTTGATGCACCTAAATATAGTTAGATTATTGTTAACTATGTAATCATTATGCAGACGTTGTATCAGTAATTCGCACTGAATATCTAATTTATATTTTGTGCGCATCTCTATAATTTAATTATTGACTATGTAATCAAATATTGAGATGATGTTCACAAACACTATTATTTGATAATTATAGACCATTAATTAATTATCATAGAATTAAATAATCAAGACATAATTTTTTGTGTTATTTTAGAATATAAACTAACTGCATTATTTCTATTAATAAATAAATAAAGAAAAGCAAACTAACCGAACTTCCTATCCTAGCTCAGCGGTTAAGGCGGCGCACTCTGTACTCTAAGACCCGCGCTCGAATCCCAAGCGGGCCAAACTTTTTGATTTTGCATTTATTATTCAGTAGTGCATTACGATGGGATAAAAGAAAAAAAAATCAATCTAACCGAACTCCCTATCCTAGCTCAGCGGTTAAGGCCGCGCACTCTCGACCCTGTGACCCACGCTCGAATCTCAGGCGGGCCAAACTTTTTTGATTTTTCATTTATTTATTATGTAGTAATAGTGCATTACAACAGGATAAAAGAAAAAGAACAACTAATTCTAACGTAATCCCTATTCTAGTGTAGTGGTTAAGGCTCCAAACTGAGAACCCCGAGACCTGGGTTTGAATCCTAGGCTCAGAATTTTTTTATATTTTTTATAAAAAGGCTGCGATGGCAGGCTTCAAACCGACAATTATTTTTTAATATTTTTTTATTAAAATGCTGCGATGGCGGCAGGGCCCTTCACTGCTAGTTTTGGTTTTAAAACCGACAGTAATAGCTTCTATCACAGTCGGTTGCTCGAACCGACACAGAAGGCCTCATTCACTGTCGGTTTTTAAACTATAAACGATAGTGATGTGTAGATGCTCCTCAAATGCCAACAGTGCTCCCACTGACCACAATAGTAGGAACACTGCTCCCACGTACCCCGACAACTTTAGTTCAGAAACAAAAATGTACCACGACTGTTAGCCCCTATAAAATGGCCCTCGACCAGGAGCTAGCCTCTCCATGCATGTTGGTTTCAGCCAGGCCTTATCAGCCATGATACAATGTTTTCCTCTCACAATAAACCACAGATACCGTTATCCGTCGTAGTCCACCAAAATGGTGCACACAAGAGGTACTAGAAGAATGCTACTAAAGATAGAGCAACACTGAAGATTGGAGATGCCATGAGTTTCACAGAGCCATCTGCTGCGGTGTGCATCTGGAAAAAGGCCATGTACAGACAAGGTGGATTCATCGATGCCACCTTGTCATCTCCAACCGATATAGCTCGTAGACCACCTCGGTGCTGTTGTTTGACCCTAGTTGGGGCTAGAAGAATGCTACTGAGGTGGTTACATTATAATGTGTTGATACACATTGATTGTAACATTGACCTATATGCAAATAGGTCTTTGTTATCGTATATGGAATTTTAATGTAAGGTCTTTGTTATCGTATATGTAATTTATTTCTAATATTTTTGTTATTTTTTGATGTATTTCATTACTATCTAAATAAATATATCATTATAGTTAAAACTTTCCCACTGTACTATCTAAATAAATATATCCTTTACATATATGCACTTTCACTGTCGGTTCTACTTACAAACCGGCAGTGATATTAACTTTCATTGTCGGTTCTTCTTAAAAACCGGCAGTGATGTCCATGCCCCCCTATATAAAACAAACCACCGGCCACATACATCGATCCCATCCACGCACGAACTCTCACAGTCTCATTTCTCATGTTTCACTCTCACTTCTCAAGAAATCCACTCTCTCTCTACGTGATTTGGTCATGGCTCCTGCATTTTTCAATGGTATTGATATGTTGTCTTCTCCAATATTCTATCTATATTCATTTGATCTATATTTATATTCATGTTTGTTTGTATTGTATATTTATATATATTCTTATTCCTTGCATTTGATCTATATTTAATTATGTTGCCACATTTTACTTAGAAGATTTTTTTTGCATAT